TTTACAACATTATCTTTCAAACTCTTATCTATAATTACACCTACACCATTTCTAGTGCGACTCTTACCAGAATACCAAAGTTTAAAACCTAAATTATCAATTTCCTTAGCCTTTTCTCCCACCCACTTAGTTTCTTGAATACATAAGATATTAATTTTCCTATGAATCATAATATCAACTAATTCCATTAATTCAAAAAAGTTGAATTCATGCAAGAGTACAAAATAAAATAAATCAAATTCTTTAATCAAATTCCATTACTCACATAAAAGTATTTTTTATTAAGAATGAGAACATAAATGCATAATTCTATTTATGAAATTCAAAATAGATATATTTTTCATATTTTTGATAAGATATAAAAAGAAAAAGCTTTTAAAAATTTATATACCCTATAATAGGTTTGAGGTAACTATGTGAATGATGACTTCTTGAATGGCTATGGTGGGATTCAATCAAGACAATCTAATTTGGACTTTATCTTAAAAGACCTTTCAACCAGAGAAATGAAGAAAGAAAGAACGAGAAGAAGAAGGGAAAGACCAGGAAGGGAGTCCGAAGAAAGATAAAAGCTCTACTCTTTAAACTCTATTTTTATTCATTCCATTGGATAGAAACATCAGAAGTATATATACAAACATAACGATATGCTTGTAAACAATTAGAAGAGTGAAATAGACATTACAAACATATTGCTATACTTAATATAAAATGTCCTGTTATGTAGGAATACCTAGTGACCACAGGAGCGAGACAAAGCTAGTGGTGAGGAGGAGAACCAAAGGAGAGCAGAGAAGTGACAACTGAAGGATAACATCGAGACAAACCAGGTGTCGTTTACCCCCCTTCAAGATGATGATCGAGTGGTAAGATCGTCAGCTCGCGAGTAAGGTTTTGGTGCCTATTGATCGTAAGTGCTTTGGTAAGAATGTCTGCAACTTGATCTTCTGACATAATGCGTTGTAAATTAATATGATTGAGTTGGAGGTGGTCCCTGATGAAGTGGTAGTCGACTTCGATGTGTTTGGTTCGTGAATGGAAATTTAGGTTGTGCGCCAACATGATTGTCATGGTATTGTCGCTATATAAGACGGTGGGGGAATGCGTAGTGTTGGTGAGTTTTTGTAGAAGTCTTCTGAGCCAAATAATTTCGGTAGTGGTAATGGCCAAGGCTCTATATTCGACTTCAACAGAGGATCTGGCCATGGTAAGCTACTTCTTTGTTGACCAGGATATAAGATTTGGCCTAATATAAATGCAGAACCCAGAGATAGATCTTCTTTCGGTTGTATCACAAGCCCAGTCAGCGTCCGCATAAGCAGGACCAAAGGTAATTGAATGCTGATGACTAGGAGTCCCTTTTAGATTACGTAATAGTCTCTTGAGCTTTTGATAGTGTAGTAGTGTTGGTTGATGCATAACCTGACTTAGATAATTAATAGTAAAAGAGATGTCCGGAAGAGTAATAGTCAGGTACTGGAGCAAGCAAATGAATTGCTTATACTGTTCCTGTTCAGATATCAAAGTGGAAAGAGGGGATTGTTTGTAATGGTTTGTGGAAAGTGGTGGTAGACCGGATTGTTTGTAATGATTTGTGGAAAGTGGTGTTCAAACAGGTTTGTCATGAGACATACTTGTTTTATTTAAAAGCTTTGTTAATCATTGTGTTTGATTCAAGAAATAAACTAGAGTAGCTTTATGAATATGAAGCCCAAGAAAATGAGAGATTGGGCCTAATTGTTTGAGATTGAATCTATTACTTAGTGTTTTGACCAAGTTAGTGATAGAAGTTGTGGAGTTGCTAGTGATTGAAATGTCATCCACGTAAACAAGTAAATGCACGCTTGTTGTTGATTGTAAATTAGCAGAGATGGATCCACAATGCTTAAAGTAAAGTGCTAAGTGTATAAAAATTGACAAGAGGAGGAATACCACAAACACGGGGCTTGCTTTAGGCCATTAAAAGTTTTTTTAGGCTTACAAATATAATAAGGGTGAGTGTTGTCAACAAATCTAGAAGGTTGAGTCAAAAAAACATTATCATCAGCTTACCATGTAGAAAGGCAATTGAGACATCCAGTTGCATAATTTCCCATTTATTAAAATTAGCAAAAGCAATAAGAAGTTTAATGGTGGGAAATTTTCCAACCGGACTGAAAGTTGCATTATAATCGACGCCTTGCTGTTGTTTGTATCCTTGCTCAACTAAACGAGCTTTGTCGCGAGCAATAGTACCATCAACATTATATTTGATTTTAAAAGTCCACTTACATCTGAGTATGCTTTGGTTTGTAGGAGGAGGGACAAGGAATCAGGTACCTAGTTGTTGAAGAGCCATGAACTCTTCCAACATGGCTTGACGCCATTGAGGATGTTGAGCTGCTTGTTTGTAGGTGGTCCGTGTGACATCAGTAATAAGATTGTGTTAAAGATCTAAAATCTGCTTTGGTTTAAAGTTCCCGATTTGCTTTCTTGTTATCATATGATGCTATTTTTGTGTAGATGGAGGGATTGATGGTGGAGAGGAGAGGGTAGGATGAGGAGATGAGATGATGGGTGTAGATGAAGTGAGAGTAGGCGTGAAACTAGTAGCTAAATCAGTAGGAGTAGTATCAGAAAAAATAATGAGAATTAGATATAGAGGAAGTGGTGGAGATAGGTAAAAGGAAGGAGGGGGGAATATGGGTTGAATGAGGGGAAGTGGGATGAGAAGAAGGGGAATTAGTTTGTGGTAAGGAAAGTTATCTTCAATAAAGATAACATGATGGCATATGAGAGACTTCTTTTTCTGAATATGAAAACAATTATAACCTTTGTGGTGTGGACTGTACCATAAGAAAATGCATTTGGGAGCTTTCCATGAAAATTTATGAGAGGCTTGAGAAGGTTGCCAAGGAAAACAGAGGCATTCGAAGATTTTAAGCTTTTGATATTCAGGAAGAAGATTATAAAGTAATTGAAATGGAGATTGGTAGTTAGTAGTAGCATAGGGAAAGCAATTTATGAGGTAGTTTGTAGTTTGGATGACACCCATCCGGAACTGAATTGGAAGTTGGGCTGTGTTAAAGAATGTTCATGCAGTTTCAAGGAGATGTATGTTTTTACGTTTGGCAAGGCCGTTTTGTTCGGGAGTATATGGGTAACTGTATTGATGTTTGATACTTTGCTTAGTTAAATAGTTATTGAGAATGTGAGACATATTCTCATCACCACCATCAGTGCATAGAAATTTGATGTTTTTATTAAAGTGATTTTTTATCATTTTGTGTAAGTTAATAAAGTGATTTGTTGTCACCAACAGAATTTAGAGTGATCATCAATGAAGGTTACATAAAAGTGATAACCATCTATTGAGAGAAGAGGAAAGGGACCCCAAATATCTGAATGTAGAAGTTCTAAGACATCATTAATAGAGCTTTCACAGAAAAGTAACTTGTGACTTTTATTTTGTTTGCAATCAATACAATGTTGAATAGAAGTGAGAATTTTAAAATGAGGAAAGAGGTGAGAGGACTTGGATAGAAATTTCTTGTGAGGGTGGCCTAGTCGTTAATGCCATATGTTGGAGTCGGTGACTGTGGTGAGGGCTGTGATGGGGTATAGCCTTGATCAGCTAGACCAAAGTGGATAATTTTCTTGGTGTTCAAGTCCTGAAAGTAAAATTTATTAGTGCAAAAAACAACTTGTCTTGAGTGAGTTTGTGAACAAGTTTTGAGTGAGGTGAGGTGCACAAAACAAAGGGGAAGGCTTGAGCTTACTGTGAGATGTTGGAAGTATACCATTTCCAACATGGGTTATGTCGGTATTTTGTCCGTTACCTACAACGACTTGTTCAGAGCTGGTATATTGAGATGAATGATGCAGATTGTGCAGGTGAGGTATGAGGCGGGTGGTTGCTCCTGTGTCTAGGAATCAGTTTTGTGGGTTGGGTTTGAAGCTGATTTGTGAGCGCAGTTGGTTGAGGAATGGTCTTTGGTCCTGTGAATTTATGAATACTCTTTTCACCAATTTTGTAGTAGAAGTACTCTTTTAGCCAAATAGTTGGTCTTGACTTGTGAGCACACTCAATTACACTCACTTGGTCTCAAAGATTTTTATGCACTCTTGCAAAGAGAAGCGTGTAACTTAGCCAATGAATTGACCAACAACATACTATTATGGTTTCCTTAAAGAATAAAAAACGGCCCTCAATATACAAGTTCAGTAAGGAGAACTCATAACTTAAGAATCCTCATAACAACTCAACAAAAACCAAACCCATTACTGTATGTAAGATATGTAATAAAAGAGGTCATTCAACCAGCGCTTGCTGGCACAGGACCAATCTTTGGTACAAGGGTAAAATAGACATTTCAAACATATTGCTACAAATATAATATTCCTACAGTTAATATAAAATGTTGTGTTTATGTAGGAAGCCCCAGCGACCACAAAAACGAGACAGAGCTAGCGGCAAGGAGAACTAAGAAGAGCAGAGAAGAGGCGACCGAAGGAGAACATTGAGAGAAACCAGCTGTTGATTAGATCTCACTTAGTGCTCAACAAAATATGATGAAAGATTAATAAAACTAACCTCAAATAGTTTTGAATACTAGCCAATGTTTTTCAAAAGCCCAAGCTAATACTGGCGACTTTTGCTCATCCCATCATATGTTTATGTATGCACTTTCTCGATATTATTTGAAACTCATCAGGTGTCTTTTACGTACAACTATTTTATTATTAGCATGGTTTCTTTTATTTCGCATAAAAAACTAAAGCTTCTAAATATAGTCCCCAGATCATTCTTACCCTAAAATAACCATTTCGCTAAAAGAGTACTTTTACTACAAAATTAATGAGAAGAGTATTCATAAATTCACCAAATACTTGAAATAAATAGTAAAAAACCTATTGCTTGAAAGACTAATTTAAAAAAAAATTAATGAAGAGTATTCATAAATGCAGCAAATACTTGAGAGAAAATGAATGATGGATATAGAAGAGACAAGAAATCTTACCAACAGTATCATACACTACATCAAATTTTTCTGGCAGATCGTTTAAGTTTTCCTTGGTGTAGTCAATTGCTAAATCAGCTCCCAAACTTTTCAATAGCTCCAACTTACCCGTGCTTGAAGTGGCAGCAACTCTTGATGCACCATAAACATGTTTTGCCAACTATAAAACAAAACAGATTTCAAAATAACACCTTTACAACCTAACCATGATGTGAAGCACTACACTAGCCATTTTCTATTTGTTCTGAAAGTAACAGAGTTTCTAGGATATGGAAAGAAGCTAGAACAAAAACAACTAGCCAGCAATATTAATGAACATAAAACTTCCAGCAGCCAATGACAAAATCCATCATGGTGATCGAGAAATATTTGTATTGGATCATAGTTTTATTCGCTAGCGGACGAATCAATAAACAACCATATCTTGTTCGTTATAAAAGGATTGAAGTAAGAAAGGCAAGCCAATAGTAGTCCGGGCACATAATTCTTTTCTGCCATAGATGCTTATAGTTTGATTTCAGTTTCAAGACTTACAAGAAATTACCTGAATCACCAAGGATCCAACTCCACCTGCACCGCCTAATACAGCCTAATACAAGAATAGATTTAGAATAGATTTACCAGCAGAGAAGTCTGCTTTCTCCAAGCCTTCATTTGCTGTCTCAATGGCCAGAGGAATTCCAGCAGCTGATTGAAAGTCCAGATTATTGGGTTTTATGGCAAGCAATTTCTCTTCAACAGCAGTGTACTCAGCAAGTGATCCAAACTTCTTAGGCTCCAAAGCTTTCTCATTGATATCTCCATATACTTCATCTCCTTCCTTGAGCTTTTTCACCTGATTGCCCACCTTGACAACTACACCAGCCACATCATATCCTGGAACAGTCTTTTTGTAGTGAAAATTAATCAGCTTTTCGATTATATCTTATATCATCATTAAAAATGTCATTTGTAATTGAAAATAGAAAGTGGGTCTTATATCATCATTAAAAAATAAAACAAAACAAAAATACAAATAAAAAAATTTGTGGCAGAAAACAGAACCAATTATTAGTGCAGAGCACTCTGAAATTTGGTTTTATTCAACCTCAGAAAAAATTCAAAAACAACCAAACAAAAATCGTATTCTCCTGAAACGGATGGGCCTATATGTTCTATATCACATCAGTTTCCATGTGCTTAATTTCACATAAATCATGCATCTCCAATCAATACCCTCCAAACCTATCAAAAACTGTTATGGTATGGCTCATATACCATATCGGGACAGACGTTGGATCGAAGCGGAGCGGAGCGGAGCGGAAGAATCTGTCCAAATTGGGAAGTTACGTGGGTTGAGGTGCGGGGGCAAAGCCCCGCGGTATGGTACAGGGGTAATGTTGTAATTACATATTGTGCCTAGGTTTACTCCTGGGGTTATAAATAGGCTTGTTAGTAACCCCAGGAGGTAATCCCTGGTTTCTGTAAACCCTTTTCTGAATAGTGAAAGGAACTCGCCGCTCTGCTCCCGAGGACGTAGGCATCTTTGCCGAATCTCGTTAAATCTCTGTGTTTTTCTGGATTTGTGTCGATTCCTGATTTTTTTTGCCCTAATTTTCTCAACAAGTGGTATCAGAGCCAAGTTCGAGGGCAGGGAAGAAAACTGTGGCGGCGCAGGAAGCAAGAAGAACGATTTGGGGGGATTTTGGAAGGAGAACGATCTGCCTGGCTTCGGTTCGGAATCAAGTAGGCAGGAGTTCGCAGGCGGGTCAAGATCTGCGCGAGGTGCTATTCGCGACGGGACCAGGAAGAACGCGCGGGGTTTCAGCGAAGCAGGGCAGCGCAGAGGGAAGCTCCGATTTGGCGCTAGAGAGGAAGGCTCGCGCGAGAAGAAGGCAGAAAAGGAAAGGAGCGGGCGGGCTTTGCGGGCAGGAGGCATCGCTGCTTGGAAAGGAAGGTTCGCGCAGGCAGAAAAGGGAAAGGCAGCGGAGGCGGAGGGTGAGCCAGGGAAGGAATCTTTAATTTCTAGAGGAATATTCCGGCTCTGGTAAATTGGAAAGGGATTTAATTTCTTCTGCCTGCTGCATCGGAAAGGGAAGGCTGCTGACAACGAAGTGAAAGCATTTAATTAAGGCATTAATTAAGGGAAGCTTAATTAAACAAATTTAATTAAGTAAAATTCCCTTAATTAAGGGAAAATTTTTCTTTAAAAATATATTTTTTTTTTTCCTTCTTTCCTCTTAAAAAAAAAAAAAAATCAAAGCAAGGATTTTTGCAGAGGAATTTTTTGCAAAAATGTTTTGTTGCAGGAATAATTTTCAGATGGCATTTTCTGGTGCGAAATTCGAGGTGGTGAAGTTCGACGGAACTGGTAACTTCGGATTGTGGCAAACCAGGGTGAAAGATCTGTTGGCTCAACAGGGAATCTTGAAGGCTTTGCGGACAGTAAAACCAGATGCCATGGAGGATGAAGATTGGGAAGAATTGCAACAGCGAGCAGCAGCAACGATACGACTATGCCTAGCAGATGAGGTTATGTATCACGTGATGAATCTGAAATCTCCAGGAGAAGTTTGGAAGAAATTGGAAACTCAGTTTATGGCAAAATCTCTGACGAACAAGTTGTATCTGAAGCAAAAGTTATATGGGCTGAAGATGCAGGAAGGTTATGATCTGGC